GGCATTGTAGCGTTTATCATCGTCCCCCCCCCCCCTCTTGTGAATGATTGGCTCCAACACTAAGAATAGATTAGGGCCTAGAAACTATTGAACGAGGGAGAAATGTGTTGTTTATTTCTAGTCATGTGACCTCCCATAAACTACATTGTCACTAGGCCTGCGACACGGGTTGGTTGGCCCGGGAAGGGAGAGAGGGTTGGACGGCTTTAAAAACATGGCGCCTTTGTCCTTGAACACGACTTGAACAACAGTATAATGAGAAAGTTTTCGCTCGTAGTCTGTTTGAAGTTGTCTTTGATTAGTGAAGGCGATAGTCGTCTGTTGTGAAAAATATCAGAAACAATGATTTAAAGCTAAGTAGATCTACTAGTGGGCATATACCACACTATTTTGAATGTCTAGGGACTATTCGGATAATTTAAACGGACACTGGTAGATAATCGTCTTGCTCTATGGGTTGGTAGTCGTCCATATATGAAGACGCCCACACGAGGTGTTGGGGACGTTCGAAACAAAAGTATGGAAGGGTGAGGGTTGGGGCAGCCGGAGCACCTACATTTCTACCCCCCCCCCCTCCCCACCCCATTTAGATAAAGTTATTCACACAGTTTACCAGCATCTGCCCTTTACCAGTTTTTGTTTTTGTGTCCCACAATTGATGTAGAAAATAGTTAAATCAGTCTGTAAAGCTAAGCGTCGGTGTATTTTCTCAACTTCGATTGTACTTATTTTTAATTATTTTCCACACCCTCTACGGCGCACCAGTAGAGGTAAAATGCACAACGGAAAAATACGCACAAAAAAAAAATAAAGAAAGAACATTTTTTTTTCTAAGAATAGCGTTACAGACTGTTGTCTCTAGTACATTGAAGTTGAAGAAACCCAATATTGGTGTTCCCTGCTAGTTATTACTAATTTAGTAATATTACATGAGCTATAGCCATCCTGCTTGCTGTTTAGATATATGTTCAAATAGATTGTACTGATATCTTTGCGAGCAATTGCACATCTCTCTTCTAGCTAGCCATGTCACTGTTAGGCCTATTCCTTTGAAAATAAAATAAGCATGTTATTTAGATATATAGATGGGCAAATGGACAGACAGGTAGGCAGCAGAGTTTCTTCCAGGCATCTCTTCGGGGGGGGCGAAGCCCCCCCGAAAATTTTTTACCGCCCTCCCGAACGAAATGAAATTTATATAATTTATATAGAAAATATATACTTTTAACAGTGTCCGCCCCCCCCGAAGAAAGTTTACCGCCCCCCCGAAGATTTCAAGTGCCCCCCCGGAGAAAAAAGTCTGGAAGAAACACTGGTAGGCAGGCGTGTCGGTGTACGTGTAAGTATACGTGCAGAGGCGTATACAGGTTTTCGGGTTAGGGGGAGCGTCGAGTCGAGAAAAAGGTGTATGTATGTATATATATATATATATATATATATATATATATATATATATATATATATATATATATATATATATATATGTATATATATATATATATATATATATATATATATATATATATATATATATATATATATATATATATATATATATATATATATATACGTATATATATATATATATATATATATATATATATATATATATATATATATATATAAAATGTATACGTGTAACGTATGTTGGTGTATATGTAGGAACAGGTGTGGGCGTAGCTGCGCAAATCTCTAAATTTCCCGGGGGGGGGGGAATGACACTATATATTTTTTAAAAACATTCTATTCTGTTCGTGGGGGAGGGGGGGGGAGAAGAGAAACTCAGAAATCACGTATGATCAAACCCCCTTGTGGAAATCCCTTTATAGAAATGTTATTAAATTATGCCGGATGGTGGTCTATGCTGGGTCAGTAATACATCTTTGTTATTCTTAAGGCCTTATAGGCTACGTGCAAGATTTCCAGTGTTTCTTCCAGGCATCTTTCCGTGCTTTAATGCGTTTTTAGTTGCTGTAAACTTGCGACATGGTTCAAATTTATCGCATATAACCTAAAAATATATTTATGTTTATGAGAGGAAAAATATGTTGGAGAATAAATTGTAAAAATGCATTTTATATGGGGCACACAACTATTCTTTAATAATATTATCAAGACGTAATTATATTGTTTAGAACTGCATTAAGGCAAGGCACTTATTCCCCCTTCTTTTGATAAATTCTACCGAAAAAAAAGTTGCACTATCAATTTTGCGCCCCCGCCCCATTTAGTTATTCATATTGGCATAAAAATGCCCCCCCCCCTCCCCCAGCCACTGTCCCTTAACGGTTTTTATGTTAGTGTCAAACAATTGATGTTGAAAACAGTCTAATAAGCCCATAAATCCAAGCAAGTCTATTATCTTAATTTTTATGACTGTGCATAGTTAAAAAATACATCCCAAAATGAACTTTTGAAAATTCTTCCCAACCCCGTTCGCCACCCCCCCCCCCCTTGCGACGCCTCTGCCAAAGTCTTATTAGTCCACGGGGCCCCGGCTGATCTGTTACGCCAAAACGCCATTGTTTTTTTTTTTGTTTGGTTGTATCTGTGGGTGGCTTTACAGCTATTTAACAGCATAGTGAGCTTTCACCAGAGCTTATTATCAAGTTGCCGTGCCTTCATGCTATAGTATTTTTTAAACACCATTTACTCAAGTTTTGATTAGCTCAATTTAATGTTTCAATAAAATACGATGAGAAAATGTATTCCTAAAAATCACTGTATCTTTCATTCTTTGCGAACTGTAAATTGTCCAAGGCCTACGTACCTGTTATTTTCAGAAGCTTAGCGACCCATTTCGGCGCCCCCTCCGTTTTTATTTTCCTTTCACACCAATTGATATAGAAAGTCCATAAAAATCAAGTAGCACTCTATTGTCTTAACTTGGGTAATGCAATTCAAAATAAGCTTCCTACCAAATGTGTCGCCCCCTACGGTGGACCGCCCTAGCAACTCCTTTGGTTATTCCTGCTGGTGTTTGTTTTGATTAAGACCAGGCTAGGCCTAGATAACAGGATGTTTTTATTAATTACGCAACAAAAAAAGTGTAGTATCTAGTATACACAAGGCTTAAACAAACATCACTTCCGGATAGTAAAGGAACACTATCTGATGGGCAGCTAGATATTCATCTAACTAATCCAGGAGGATTCGTAATGTTGTGAGGGGGTTTCAGGGAGTTGGTCGTCACACCGCTGCATCAAGATGTGAAAGCTGTTTTTATTTTTTTATAAATTGTAGCAGAAATTGAATAATATACTCTCTTAACTGATCTCTGTAAATATTTAAGAATAAATATTTTTTAAAAGAAAATAAAGGAATAGGGGGGGGGGGGGGATTTAGGCAGAGGTGGTTAGTCGTTTGGGGGAGGGAGTCTGCCTTTATGTGACGTATGATGGGGGGGGGGGGGGAAGGAGGTGACTTCATTTATGGTTGACCCATAGCACAGATATACAGCCAGACTTTAAGCAAGTAAATGGAGTCTTACTAGTTAAACCTTTAATATACATATTAAATTTAACATCGAAAACTAAACATATGTACAGCAAAAATATAATAAATCAATACACTTTTGATAGAATCAACAACAGGTAAATAATATTGATTGTAAGTAAGCCATACTAATTTTCACAATGAAGGCAACGTTAGGCATATTGTATGACATGGCATTACAATAACAAAATAATATTTATTCATCTTCATAGCAGCTGCCATTTTTTTTACACACAAAAACATTAATGTGGAAAATTTATGTGTGGGTGCAAATACAAATTTAAAACATGTACATCTGAAACATCAGACTAGAAGACAAAAGAAATAATGGAATACTCTTCATACTTAGCATTCTTATTAATGAATAAGATTTTTAAAAAATATTTTTTTTACACATCTACTTTTTAAGAATGACAACTACTACTAGTGCTGTAAAGTGTTAATATAAAAAAATTAGACATAAGCAAATGATAATTTTTTTTAAGAAATGCTTTTTTAATTAACAAAACTTGTTGAGAATAAAAATACTTAAATAATTTCAATTATGTTTACAACAATTGTCAATGAACTATTAATTAAAGAGATATTTAAAAAAAAAGTTTTCACAGGGAGTGTTTGTTATCACTAAGATTTGAAAACAAAACAAAAACCCCAGACATTGTATATTATATATCTAAAAAAAAAACTGATGGAGTGCACACGGACTACCTCAGTAGTGGTTTTTTTGTTTTAATAAATGATAAGACAAAGAAAAAGCATGAGTTTAATTTAGTTAAAAAAAAACAAAAAAAACAAGTAAAACAAAAACAACCATAGCAAAAATTGATAGTACATTTTTTGCAAGCCCAAATTCTCAAATTTCTGTTTCTCATTTATTACAACACATATTCCAAAAACCTCAGTTAGTAGAAACCAAAATTGGGTAGTGCTTATTTTGCCAAATGATAGAGGATGTACACAACATACTTAGATCCTCTCACATCCAAGAAATAACTGTCAAAAAATATACATTTAATTAAATCTGTTAAAATTCTTAAAATTTATTCTGAAAAAAAAAAGTCATTAATACTATTTTTTAATAGTCCTAAGGCTAACCCTAAGTAAGATCTATAGCGTTAAAAAATAAATGAATGCCATTTGCACTATAAAAAAAAAATAACTCCACAATGAAGACTGATTTGAACCTGATATTTGATAGCCGACAGACTATCGAACCTGCCACACAGCTAAAAATAGCGATCGGATTTGAAAGGATCTAATTAAGTTGCATACTTCCCCTTTAGTAGGCAGATATAAGCACATCTGATAAACTGTTTTCATTATTTCAAATCCTTGCAATAATGTTTTTAAAAAGGAGATAAAAACATACAGTACATTGCTTTAGCTCTATCTAAAACTACAAATGGCATACATTTTTTATGAATTCACTTTTTACAGAATCTCATGAAGTATGTTCAAAGCAGAAAAATTGGAACAAGATATTGAATGAATTATTTACAGATGTCTTTTCTTGCATGATGAAAATAAAAAACTAACTGGTGCAAATACTCATGTTGGCTACTTATCCCAGTAATGGTTTCTTTACAAATCTACATTCAATGCAAATGAAAAAAATGAATGATTTTTTTCAACATTTCACATTCTTACCATAAAAAAATATGGTTCATGGCACCCATTACTTTTATGCCTCATATTTCTCACAATTTTCCTCCACTGATTGTACCACATTTCACATAACATGACTTAAACTAAAACTCCTAGTATTAGTACAAACAAAAATTTGTAATTGAATTAAAATTGCTTTAAAAACAAAATTCAAAATTAACAAAATGCACATTGCTTATGAATTATAACTTATCATCTTTATTATGGACATTGTTATTGGAGGATTAATTTTAGTTTTCTTTTTCATTAAATGTACATTAAAAAAGTATTGTCCCAAAACAAAAGTATTGTTACTCAAAAAAGTGTTATAAACAAGAACCTTGTAAATTTATATAAAAACAATGATCCCAAAGTCTAATGGGTTAGTTGATTCATTAAAAACATTTTTTTTTACAAATAAAACAGCTTGTCAGCAAGATAGCCAGAAAATTCTCTGTGTAAAGACTGTCCTTGCAAAAATGCTAATTTATGTGCATACTGGCATGGTGCAGGTACTCTGATAGTTCCCTGAAGGAAAAACAAGATTATATGAATATAAGTGTTATTTTCTTAAACCTTTCATTAGCCTACCAAATACAACTTTTTAACCATAAGAAAGTATGAGGATATTTTAATTGAGTTTCAGAACCCCTGGGTAGATGAGGCTGGTGACACAACACCAAATACTGACTGCCTTAAAGATATTCTTGGGTCAAAACAAAAAAAAAAAGGATATGAAAGCACACCTAGAAAGAAAAGCAGGTGGAAGCAGGCCACAAGGCACATAACTTGTTACACAAAACAAAAAATTATGATGGAGGAAAGAACAATTTTACAACTAAATGCAATGAATAAGGTTCATTTTTTAAAGATCATAAACAAATTTAAATACTTATCCTTAAGTGTAAGAAGTAAAATATCTGCATAGGTTTAATAAATCATACTTTGCAAAGTCTTATGAAAATCAGGGATGTGACCAGACCAGGAAAAAAAATTAGGAAATTTTCTTCGGACAAGAACTCAATATGTTTTATCTATATTTTTTTATCGCAGTTAATGCAGTCTCATGCCATTACTGTTCTAATTAATCGTTTAATATAGCTAATATTATAAATAAAAGAAGTTTATGTTATTCTAAATTGACATTGAAAGTCTTGGCTAATTGCAATTTAATGTTTAACTTATAAACAACTTTTTTTTTTTTAAATTACATTTGCAAAAGTGGCAAATAAGTTCAACATTTAGTTAATTTAAAGTGTACTAATCTAGTCTAGTTACACTTTTGTTTTCAATTTTAAATTATGCCTTATATTCTTTTAAAGATTGGCATGGTAAAAATGTTAGTCTTCAACTGTAAAATGCCTAGATTAAGATTAATTGTAATTTGAAAGTTTTGGGTTCAGGTGTTGGAAAATGAAATTGACCAGATTAGCTGAAATTAGAAAGGGTCTGATATGTGAACCAAAGTTAACCATTTCGATAGCCAAACCACATGGTTATTTTTGTTTTTGGAATGGCTGTAAATTGTTTGAGGTCATCCATAAATGACGTCACGTTTTTTTTTTACGATTTTTACCTCCCCTCTCCTCTCCATCACAAAAGACATACCCCCCTAAAATGGCGTCACACCTCAGCCAACAACCGCTCCCCCCTCCTCAATATTGAATTTGAATTTTTTTTTTAAACATCGATTTTTTTCTCTAAAATATTGACTGAGCTCAACCAACATAGGGTATTTTAATTAATTTATATTACAATTTTAAAAAGTTTTCTAAAACGCGTAATAGCGGCTAAAATTCAGTTTCTAACATAACTTTTTTAAAATAAAAAATATGACGTCACACTATCTGACCCCCTCCCCCTCATTAGCCTACACGTTACAAAATTACGGACCCCCCCGAGTGTGACGTTATTTATGGAAGACCCCTTATTAAAAACAGTCCATATCGTATTTTTTTCTTCTGAGTACCGTTGAGTTCAGTTTTTTTTTTTTTTAAATCTGTAGGCCTATAGCATAGGTATTGCAGGAACAGCTCTTTGAAATTACTGTGACGTCATTTTATTTTTTTCCCCACAAGCAGTACCAAACACGTACTTGGGGGTCAAGGTGAGGTCACAAGAGCCACGGTTGCTACAGGGGGGGGGGGGGGGGTTAGTCTAGTCTTCATAGTCACTTTTTGCAAGGATTTTAATATTAATTTTAGATAGCTAAATAAAATAAAATCAGAGAGAGACTGTAGATTTGGGTGGGTTAAAATACAGAAAGGTAAATTAGGCTATATCGATAGCTAGAATACCACGCTTGTGAGATGCGAGTTTCATTTGAAGAAAGGCATTATTTTATATTACTTTTCCCGCGTTTTTGATAAATATTCAACTGATATCAGCGGAAAATTTGGACAAAAAATTTTCGTTCTGAAAACTACTGAAATTCGCAGAAATTCTGAATCTTGACCTAGATCAATATTTCATCTTAATCTAGCACGGTCAGACATAGCGCAATCGTCTAATTAAAAAGAAATGTGCATATTTGACCTAAGTACTGTAATTCTCGATTTTAAATACGAATATATGGAATGCGCAAGTCGGCCGTTTCCGTAGATGCCATTTTCGTTTTTTTTTCTCCTAATTTTTAAAACTTCGGCAAAAATCGAAGATCGGCGGAAAAATTCGGCAAAAATTAAATCAGCGGAGGAAAATTGCAGCTGAAACGGAAAAATCGGATTTCCGCTAAAATTCGGAAAAGTCACATCCCTGGAAAATTTATTTAAAAAAAAAAGCTGCATCATTACCTGCCAGTTGAAATAAAGATGACACAATTTATAGGTGAGCCTCTGAATGTGATCTGGTTGGAGTCCAGTATCATCAAATATGACATTGTAGCTTGTGGGTGTCACAGTGCCTTGTCTCACTGACTGACTTACAATGAAAAAGTCATACCTGGATGAAAAAAAAGTTTTTATTAAACAAACATATTAACAAAACTGTACATCAATAAACTACTTTAAATCTACATTTGTGATTCTTCATATTGTTAATCAAGCATAAACATCTTCACCTATTTGTCACATTATAATTATTTTAGCATACTGAAATTGGTGTCTGCGTTGTTGTACTGGCTCATATTTGTATTGTATTGGAATATGAGAATCAAATGGTTCAGGAAATGCAGGATGGCTCACAAACAAGTAAATAATGAACATACCAAGAAGGTTTGGTAATAAATTGGTCAACAATGGTTCCAGGTGGAGGATTGTTTAAATTGTTGCCCTGTGGTGCAAACAATCTGGTGTTGATGCGTTTTTTCACAATCACAAAAGCAAACCCTGGTCTGAAAAATGGAATATAAAAAGTGTAACTATAACAATGGAGGATGAAATGAGAAAGTAAGAATACCATATGTTTGAGCTTATTCAGGATTTAAAAAAAAGAATGCAATAACAAAATTGTTATATTACTTGTAATCCTGTCCGCCAGCGTCTCTAATAGCACTTATTACTTGTTCATTCTCTGAGTGGAAAACAGTTTTTAGCTGCCCATCACCAACACCATCACGATAAAGAATTATCTTTTGTGGCAGGGCTCCATTTACCTCATGATATTTTTGGAGTGCACCTGAAACATCAACAATAAAAAATTTTAAAATTCACACAGATAACTCTCAGCTAGATGGTACAAATTTGATCATGATAATGACATTGCCAATTCAAGCTATTTTCACATAAAGATGTACTTATATAAACCAGGGTAACACACTACCATCAATGTACATAAGTATACACACCTCTCATAAGTGGTTGTAAGTTCCGCATTAACTCATCTTTGGTCGGATGATACTCAGTTTTACTGTAGTATCTAGTGCATTCTTTGTTAAGAGAAGCCACAAGAGCTCCAACTGATTGGTTTTTATGTGCTGAGTCATGGTAGGTGTCAATGCCAATCACCATCAAGCCTTTTAACTATGTGTAGGAAATTTACAATTAGATCTAAATGGTTTAACTGTGATTTCATAATTTAATTTGCATTAAGCTGACATTGCTATCTAAACCATTATTTTAAAAAATTAATTACCGGAATCTCAGCACCCCACACTTCACCTCCCATTTTGCAGTTCATCTGGATTGCAATTTTAGTGGCAACACTCATCAGGCCCTGTTTCTTCTGTAGTGTTCTGGTGACAACTACCTGACTGGGTACTGAAAATGGGAAATACAAAAGTTACTGTATAACTAAAGCAGTGTGAAACAAATAGGCATTAAAAGTTTACTTCGCTTGGTAGATTACATGAATAAAGCTTGTTTGTTTTAATAACATAAAACTAATTTGTTCCGAAAAGGAAAACTACAAATATTCAAATAGATCTTTCAGCTTTTTGTATGGACAATAAGAATTCATGTTTGGACCCTCAGTCCTCATATCTAAATCAAAAGTTTGCATACCTGGATTATCAATACAACAACACTTTTTAATGGCATCATAGCGATCTTTCTTTTGATTTGGAACTACACAGACTACCATCTGCACCCTCTGGTTGAGATTCTGGCGGATAGCTTGAAGGTAAGAGTCATTTCTGTCATCATTTAACTCAACCCTGTGTATTTTGATGGAACAGAATATTAGGTCAACATTTACATTAAATGCAAAATATTTAAAAAAAAAAAATGAACTATAAAATTAATTTCCTCTAAATACATTTTTTTAACTTACGCAGTTGGATTAATAATCCTCATGCCCATTCCTTTGCCAACTCTTGATAAACAGTCACTCAGCTCTGAAGATGATTGTGCAGCTTGACGTGGAAAGATGATAAGCCACTGTTCCATGTGGACAGGGTTGAGGAGACACATATTGCGCATATTTCTGCTCCAGTCTGCTTCTTTAATATCATATGAAATTTTAGTGTATTCACCCTGCAAAAATTAAATTTATTAAAGATTTCTTAATACTGAGTGAAATTTTGGTGCATATACAAAATAAATAGTATTACAACAGAAATTATAACCAGACAAATGTAATGAAGATTTACCCTGTTTGTCTTCATTAGCAACTGTTCAGCAGGTAATTGCCTTCCAGGGATTTGAGCAGGTTTATCGCTGATCTCAATCTTCCATGGCTTTAGAATTTCTGCTACTTTAGGAGACCTATAAAATTGATCACCTAAATTGTTAGCACCATTTTAGTTGAGATTTTCAGAGAGAAAAAGGTGAAGAAACCGCAAGACTTACTGGTTGATTTGTTCACAGAGCCTTTGAATTTGTTTAAGTCTGTCTCCAGGTCCTATTCTTGTGTGAACGCCTAAATCTTTCATTACATTAAAATCTGATCTTAACTGTTCACTCAGACCTGCAAATGTTAGATTATTATATAAACATACTTCATAAATAAAATTCCTTACAAAAAAGTAGATTAAAATTCCTTCATAAATGAAGCATGCGCTAAGCAATGCTAAGAATATTTAAAACATTCTTTTTAGGTTTGACAAAAAAAAAATACACATTTAAAAAATACTGAAGTTGAAACTATAGCAACATGTGAAAATAATAAACAACATAATTTTTTTTTTTCAAAAGATAAGTAAAGTTGAAATAGTCAAGGATTTCAGAACTATAGTATTACCAGTGATAGTACACAACTCTGGCACTAGGTACAAATTTGTCTTTTGGCCCCTTCTCACATCTCTTTCTGTTGGTCTGGTCACCAGCAAGGGCTGGTCTATATCCTTGATCTCTATGTTCCAGTGCTAAAACAAGAAAAATCAGTAATGACCACTTTATAAATATGAATAGTTGTAATGCTAATAGAGTTCATATTTGGATAATTCAAGACTATTTATGGAAAGTTTATTATTCTAAAATAATACTAATGTTTGTTAAATTGCTATATATATAATATTAACATTTTTTTTAAAATTTTACAAATATGACCTTTTTTTCAACAAGAAACTTATTTAATTGTATTTGTTAATGCTATATTTGCAATTTTGTTTTCAATTCAATGAACGATAACTAAAAAAAAATCAATTAACAGTAAGAATTTTTAAGATTATAGAAAATTAATTAAAAAACTTAGGCCTACTCTTTTGAGTAGCCTAGACTTGTTTAACCAAGATCTATTAAAGTGTTTTAAAAAAAAAATGCATGTAAAAACAAAACCTTTGATAAAAAAAAGGCATTCTGCAAATAGTAACCATTGTTATTTTTGCTTTTAGAGAATCCTTTGTCAACTATTAAATATTGCTGGCATAAATTTACCCCCAAATCAGTCATGGTGGATGGGTTTCTATTTAAGTCACAGTTTAGACATCAGTGTATAATAAGACAACACCAAGAATTGCCTTATCAGATTTTCTTGTGGTGTCACTTATTTTCCCCTTAAAGTAGTGCAAACAGTACACCTTGAGTTCGAATGAGCTAAGAGATCAGTCACCATTTCTAGCTCTTACAAAAACAGGCAAGTTTGTCTTGTCCTAATTGTCACTATTTACAATGATTTCAAAATTAATTTGAAACACTGTAATTAAATGATAAGCTATGAGGAAGTTGACATTAAGAATTAACAGGAAGCTAATAGGGTTTGGTTAGAAAACATGGTCATCAAAGATTAAAAAAAAAAACTAGTGAGTTAACTCTTTATGTCTGAGATTTCCTTTTTAATTCGAGAATGTGCTAGTAAAAGTTTACTAACCTCTTTATAATACTGTATGTAGCTCATTTGCTCACCATTCTTTTCGAAAGTGTCTGTGGCACGAGCATTCCAATTAATATCATCAACACGGTATGTCTTATTATTATACCTATACAAATATAAAAATTGAGCTAATTTTGTATTTCAAAATTAGGTAGAACTAATTACTTTAAACACAAACCACATAACAGTCTTAACTTGAAAAGGCTACGTTAAATACCTTGTCATGACAATTGACCCCACTAATTCCTTGGTAGCCCTCTTGTGAAACTCCTCCAAATTCTTATTGCATGATTGGAACAGCATATAAAGGGAATCCAAAAAAGTGTCAAATCTCAGAATTTTGTGAACAATGTCTACCCCTAACAAATTACCACCATCATAACTAAGGATAGATGTAGAGAATCCTGGCATGACCTCAATTCTGAAATATACATTAATAAAATATAAAAATGTACAGCTTAATGAGTATTTATGGTTGATACCATGAGACTAAAATTTAAAAAATGCGCAACATACCTGTGTTTGGGAATTTTAATTGCTAGCTTGAGATTGAAATAATGGTCTCGTATTTGTTTCATCTCCAAAGCAAGCTGAACTCTGAAATAATTAAAACCTTTTTAAAATACCCAGGAGACTTTGTTTGTGCTGAACATAAAACAACAAGAGGAACTATTTAAATTAAAATTTACAAAAAAAATAAAGAGGACCTACCTTTTAAACATAAGATTGGCTATTTGCAAGAACTGAGGGGAATTCCTGTGGACCTCGCAAACATACTTGAATTCAACAGTAATTTGAGCACTATCATATGAACGAGTGGCAACACACTCCATTGGCTGTAATTTGGAAAATTTAATATTACATGGATTATTACACGGATTATTAATGCAATTACTGAAAGTAACAATCTACATTTCACAAAATGAAGGTATCTTACAAATTAAGGAGGTATTACAGTGCAGATTAAATGAGCATAGTTAAAAAAAAAACAAATTTTAAAAACTTACATCTTTGGGAAGAAGCCTTTGTAAATACAGAATGCCACCATCAAAACACTTTACTGCCCCAACTACTTCAGACAAAGATGCAATCAGTCCAAATTTCACCTTCACATTTTCTACTTCAGGCTTGAAGGACACATGATACTGAAATATTTTTGTGTCAAGAGCTAATCCAACGTTGAAGTAATTAGTCAAAAGCATTACTTTGTCTCCACTTTTACCTGAGTAGAAGAAACATCAATGAGAAAATTGAAAAATCAAATGAAAAAGGGGTAAAATGTTCCACAAAGAGTACAATGTTTTAACCGTACCAACTGAGTCTTTATCCTTTGATCTCCATTCATCATCTACGTATTTGTCATAAGCAGTTCTGCGAGGTCTATCGCCGAGACTCATCATTGCCATCTCTCCTATTGGTGGGCGTTCACGTCCTCCACCACGCTGAACACCCCTGCCACCTGTAATACTTTCTGGCACTGCATGGGACATTGGTGTCGCTAAAGGCTGTGTTGGTGTTATCTGTTGAATGCCAACTTGCTGCTCGGGCTGAGCTAATCTGGCCACACCTCGAGCTCTACCTCTTGAAGGAAGCGCTGGGCCTGCATCACCACTGCCGCCACTCTAAAAGTAAAGTTCATGAAAATAGTAATACTTAAATTCAGTAAATAATACATAAGATAGAAAAGGCTATTAACAATACTGTTACATTGCAAATTCTGAAGGAGACCATTATAAAGCAAGAAGGATTAAATTTTTTTTAAATTGCAAAAACTAAACTGCAATGTCATCTCATATAAGAAAACCACATGCCATTAATACAAAGTAGTACCATTACAGAAGAAACTACTGTCACAGCCAACATCCATTTTTACCATAACTGCAATGACTACCCCTATAGACCTCAGGACCACTCTCCACATTTTTTTTCAGGAGACTATTTCCCATACTGCCTAGTGGTCTATTAGGCAGCTCATTGCATCATGTGTTAAAAGCCTGACCACTAAAAGCTTTAAATTTCTATCCACACTCACTGCCCAATGGTCTGCTCTCATATTCCGTTCTAATAAGAGCTATTTTTAATGTACTTATTTTCTAATATACTGTTTGTGGCCTTTGTAGACCTCAAATAATGTTGCTATTAATACATTAAATGGCTATTTATTCTCAGTATGAGGCATGTTTCATTATGGTCCTTTCATTGTGCTTTTCATCTGTAAATGTCTATTTCCAACAACCAGACTGGAACTACTAGACAAAGGCTGACACACTAGTTCTAGACTAAGGTTGGGGCATTTGTGTTTTAATGCACTAAATTCATAATATATGTGCACATGGTTCAGTTAATTATATTTTATTGACTCATTAAAGTCTTTAAACCTGTGTTGTCATAAGATCTTGATATAATGTGTTATATATATTTAGCATTTGCTACAACAATTATCAAAATGAAAGAGGAAACAATGTTTATTAAAAATGTTAGCTGGAGAGAACAAGCTGTATAACCCTCCATCATTTGTTACTTGATATTGTACACATTAAAATGATTATTATATTCTGTATAAAATGTAGTTAATTTTTTACTGGATAATGTAGGTCAATTATCTACAAGCTTGCCTAATACTGATACAAAGCCCAACATGCGGCTGAGCATATGGCTAGCTATAAAAAATGCAAACTGCTCAATCCCAATTAAATAGAATTGTGTTACAAGTGTTGCATCAAATGGTTTGTTAGAATAGAAACAGTGAAAACTGAAAGAATAGCCAGAATAGACAGATAAAGATTATTTCCATGATTCCTTCCTCAACCAATTTTTTTTTACAGTACAAGCCAGCATGCTTATAAAAAGGTTACACAGACTTACTTGTTGAGCTAACTGGCCTGGTGGAAGTGGTTCAGTTGGCAACTTCTTCCCACGACCTCCTCTCCCTCGTGCTCTTCCAGTTGCTGACTCACTCATTCTCTCTGGAAAAACAAACAGGCTGCATACTAATTTCTGTATATTATTAAAATGCTACGTAGAAATCAATCACAATACGTAGAAATCAATCACATTGCTTAGCATAAATAAAATATACGAGCGGACCCGCTGCGTATCATCACCTCTATTTAGTTTTATTTTCTGCTTTTCAGTAATTCATAATTTGTGAATTCGACAGTACCAATGCTGCCACTGAAAATATTTGCTTTAAAACACTAAACCCTCCTCCCCCCCCCCCACGTGAAAGCAGCCTCCTCTTAGTTACCTCCTCTAAGTTTAAAATCGTTTCAAACTAAATTATCTGCCCCTAACAGCCGTCGCGAAACCCGGCTCTATGATTGTAAAAATTTAGGGTGGTAGCGATAGAGAGGAAGAGAGGGGACTGTAAGGCGCGCTTGCAGCTTGTTTTCTAACGTCTCCCAGAAGAGAATTATATATATAGATTAACAGGCAAAAACACATAAAACTACTACTATCAACAAGAGTTAATAAGAAAATAAAGAAATCTGTTAGGTGTAGAAGGGTATCTAGGAAAGGCTGTTGACAAGTAGGTCTTATACCCAACATCTTCCTCAAACTAGTAACTCTTTGTGTTGTGGTCAAGACTACTGCAATAGGTGATTAAGGGTTAAACTCAGCAAAATCAATAGATTCTTCTGTCACTAATATTCCAGCTAGGATAAGATATAAGACAAATTCCTAAACCTACTCACACCTTTTGTCTTGCCAAACACTATTCAGGGAACTTAAATAATGAATCACTATTTTAAGGCCAACTTTAGCATGACATCTTCAAGCATTGGTTTACGTGATTTTTCACAGATGTTTTGTTTCATTTGATATGAAATTTTAAGACCCTCACATCCTCCAGTCCATTACTAAGGCTAAAGTGTAATTATATAAAGACTAACAGTTAGGCTTTGAGTATCAGATACAGCACTCAACTTCAAATCCTCAAAATTTTTAAAGCAGATGATTAAAAGTTACACCTGGATGTATGAAGCATGAATGCTAGTACATATCAGAATTGTATTCAGCGACCACTGCCTTCTTGACCTTATTTTGACCCTTTCCCTTTCAACACCCAGCCCCTTTTACGATGCAGTCTGTTGTCTAAATACTTATTTGCTCTATTACCAACTAAACCAGTGACCACTCAGCCTCCTTTTCTGTCTCCATTAGCGGGCTAATGATTTACTTTACGTATTCATCTTGTGTTTTTACTTTATAGAATTAGATCACTAGATAGATTCTAGATCTAATTTAGGTTTAAACTCTAAATTCCTATTTAACAACATTTTTTTGTGTTGCCGTTCGCTCCAAGGTAAGAGCTCAAAAAGGCCAAATAAGTGAGCGAAACACGCCTTTTTTATTTTACAAGTAGAAAAAACCCATTAACCATGACATTTACGATGTTCCATACATATATAGAAGTTATTTATAGTGTAAACTGTTAGCTAAGCGTTGATTGGTTCAAGTTTTGCAGCTAAGTCCAACCCTAGAGTAGGTCACATCATCCGGGTGGTGTAAAAATAGAATGGTGTGTACCAGGCAACATTGAAAAAATTCTAAAAATAATTTTTGAGAGAGAAAACTGAAGTACTTGACACGGAAGTGTTCATAAATGAACAGTCTACGTGCAGGCGCCGTGGTGGTTTGGCATGAGACAAGCTAATTAAAGTTTCTATGAGCCGAAAACCGACAAACAGTTCACTACAGCATGTTTGCAAATCATAATTTACTCTAGTATAGTTACTAGACCTATGTAGCACATTTTATCACAGATTTGTTAAGGATGGGTGGATGTACTGACTGTCCATGCTTTGGGTTCTGTAGGGCCTAAAATTTGCAAATAAAGTGCGGTAAAATCATGATATAGCATCCTTTCTTATTCTGGAATTGAACAGCAGTAAAAAACAGTAAAACCATGACAGTCTGCCAAGCTATTCCATTTCTAATTATGTTAAGTGAATGTGCTAATTATTGCTGCTACTAAACATTGTCCTAGTTCTACTTAGTACTTTAACTTTAGTAAATCTAATCATCTTATTTTACTAAAAGAACTAGAGCTAGTTGTGGCAAGACTTCTGCAGGTTTTTTTCTGTGTTTCTCAAAAAAACACTCGACTTTATTAATAATATTTAGATTTTGGCCTACTAATTGAGTAGGCTAATTGTTGCTAATTTTCTTTCAATTAAACTTTAATTTAATGCACTTTGTTTTAACAGTCAAATAAAATATGGTCTACAGTAACGAATGTTACCGAAACTCAAACATTACCAGATAATTTCCAAAGCTAGAGATTTAGATCTACATCGTGAGATTACATAAAGTCCTAAAGTGCTACTGACTATTGAAGTCTTTGAGGTTATAACAGTTCAATCTAGATTCTAAATCTAGAATAGATCTTATGATCAAGAATCTAGAGTAAAGTTCCACGCCCGGTTATTTTAATAAAATTTTTAATAAGCTCAACAGGAGGTAAACTAGAAGCGGAGAATAAAATACACTTGACTAAAATCAAATGCAGTTTTACCGAATATCTGGAGTAGAGGTCTGAGTCAAGGTACTCTAGATGTAGAATCTGGATAATAGACTGATCTAGATATTTCGCCATTCCTATAATTTTAGTTTAAGACACGAACTTTTACCTTTACATATTTCGCGGCATCCGTCCGCAGTAGTCAACACAACACTCAACAACTCACCTAGCACGTTGGTCTCTTGATCTAAAGAAGAGTCTATGCGACTTTTGATGATTAATTAATAATTTCCGGAGTTAATTTTGTTATCACACTTCACCAGCTAATCTTTTAAAAATAACTAGAATCTAGACTTTTTAAATCAACTTACACAAACTTGCAACAGCCACGCGTTTAAACCGTCTGCTTCCGTACTACCGTCTACAAAGGATATCCCGCTACAAATGATGTCTAAGCTTAGGCCTAGGTCAAGTCGTTTAGACAAAGTAAGCCTACCCAGTGATTTTTCAGTTGCCAGAAAGCTTTTTTTTTTTAAAAAAAAAACACAAAAATAACCCATAAAATATAGACATAGGCCTATAGTTTTTTCCGCTTAATTTTCAATGTAAACAATTAAAATTCAAATGTGTGTGTGTATGTAAACATAAACACATAAATGTATGCTTTATATAAGCCAATATGTTAACACATATTTGAGTTCCTTCCAAAGCAATGCTAGGCCTTACACATGACTATGCCATTGTTTATGTCATTGTTTATGTAATGCTAATTTAGTTATCAAGTTATCTGTTTTAATATTCACATGCAACATAATGATATTGACAGAGGCGTAGCTAGGGAGTGCGTATGAGGCGCCCCCTTCCAGGGCGCCGACTTTAGGGGGCGTCGAACGGGGTAGGAAAAAAATAAAATAATTTTGATCTGCATTACTTAATTATACATAGTCGAAGTTAAGTTACTTGATATGGGCTTATCTAACTGTTTTCAAGATCAATTGTTTGACACCAACAGAAAAACCGTTAAGGTTTAGGACTGGTAAAAAGCGTCCCCAGCGTTTCCTAATTTGAGAGGGGGGGGGGGGGAAGGGGGACAACTTTTTTGCCAATATGAATAACTATACTACTGGGTTGGGGTGGGGGCGCGTTTTGTCAACGTGAATAAAAATATATATCGGGGGGGGGGGGGGGGGGTCTAAGCCTCTGAATATTGGCTTTATTTTTAAAGATGCTCTTTTGGAAGTATATATTATTTCAGGGGGGGGGGGGGGAATTTTAATAGTAGTAGGCCTTTTTATTTTTTAATTCATCTGTAGTTAATAGCATCTTTTTAAAAATTAAACCAGTATAAGACCTTAATTTACTACTACATTACTATAATGATACATAATAAAAATATAGCATTTTTAAAGCTGTGTATGATGATGTTATATCATAATTTCAGTGGAATTATCATTTTTCTCCATATATTTTGCTATTTTTGCCTTGGTGTCACCCCCCCTAAATGGTGTCACCCGGTGCAGTCCGTCCGCCCCCCCCCCCCCCCCCCGCTACGCCCTCTGCATAATTTACATGATAAATTTATATGGGATTTGTGTTGATATGTGTGGGCCTATAATATTATATATGATCAATCTACCAACTAGCCTTAATGATGTGATGGTTTAGACTGATTAAATTATGTCATTTGAATACCAATTGATCAATAATAATTGTTGAACTTTCTTATTTAGTACTACATAAAATCTTCAATTAAAATTAAAAATATATGAAATAAAATTGTGCACGGCTAGACTAGTCATATTACATTATTACTATAGAATTATCAATCCTTGAAAAGTCATTAGCCTTCAGCACAGAAAAAGTCATTAGTCTTAAGCGCAGCACTCGATACATTTCATGTCGAATAAATACTACACCTGGTTATATAATATTACGAAAACTGCGTAACTGTTGTTAGCAACACTTTAACGATGACCGTTTGTTAATATTTATGAGAATTCTTACTTTATACGTAGAATTTCATTTTCTCTTTCATTATTAGACTATTGTTACTATAAATAGGTTGTGGTTGTTTTTTATTTTCGGGGGCTTATAATTTAAAATCATTCCGGGAATTACGAAGTGTCTATTCACAGTCGACTGGGAATAGCCGTACTAGTGCTATTCCCAGTCGGAACTCTTCAACATATCATTAAAATAGGCCTATTGAGTATCAAGCGCTGATCAAGCAGAGTTGTCGTGTAGAAGAATATAATTTTTTAAATGGTTTATTTTGTTAGTGTACACATATAGATCTAGACCTTGAGTTAGTTTTACTCTAGCTGTGTAGGCCTAAAAATCAGACACTAACATATAATTTATAGATCTACAGCCCTATTTTTCTAGATTATTCCTAACTTTTGAAATGTTCAGTTTTTTGTGTGTTAAAAATGGCTACAATTTAAAATGCGAAGAAACATAATTTTGGCATCGTTTAGTAATCTAGTTTTAAAAAGATAGAAACGATTTAATAGCCCCTATAAAAGAAACAATTATAGCGGTAGTGTAACAGCTTGGGAAGGTAGTGTTTGTTGACAAAGTAAAAAGGGAATTAACTCTTCATCTATGACTGGAGAGGTGAACGGAAAAAAAAATCACAGGAAAAAAATCCACAGTTTTTGCTAGGAAAAGGTCTTTCCTTGGTCGGCTTCTTCTCAGTCAGTCTTGTCCGTCCATGTTGTGTTTTTGCGTCAATGACAGCTTTTGTTTAGCCTTTGTACCGTGTCGGCTTTATGTTTTGACTCTATGCCGCCCTATGCTTAGTTATGTAAATATCGTGATAAACGTGGGCAGTAAAAGTGGTTGAACTAATGTTGCGATAGGTTGAGGGCAGCAAGTCACATTAACTACGTCTTTATGCCGTTTCACCTTAAGTTAGTATTAGAAAAAAAAAACAATGAAAAACAATGAAAACCAAGAACAATCTATCAATTCTATTAAATATTTTTTTATAGAAAAAAAATTAAAACCTGCATACTAAATATTTTGACGTGTTATAAATATTACAATACGTATACAACCTACGCACATATATCTACAATCTTTACATTAAATTTAATTAATCGTATAAGTTAATTTGCACTTTCTGAATATTTAATTCATAAAAATATTAACAAATTCCATGTAAATACACATTTGTGACTTTTCCCCTCATATCTATAGAGCGTAAATAACAGCTATTTTAAAAGTTCTACGCGAACAGAGTTTCTTCCAGGCATCTACCGCCCCCCCCCCCTACAAACGAAATGAAAATGTATATAGAAAATATATACTTTTAACAGTGTCCAACCCCCCCCCCCCCCCCCCCCGAAGAAAGTCTACCGAAAATTTCAAGTGACCCCCCCCCCCCCCCACAGAGTTTCTTCCAGGCATCTCTTCGAAAATTTTTACCGCCCCCCCCCCCCCCGAACGAAATGAAATTTAATATAATTTATATAGAAAATATATACTTTTAACAGTGTCCGTCCCCCCCCCCCCCCCCCCCGAAGAAAGTATACCGCCCCCCCCCCCGAAAATTTCAAGTGCCCCCCCCCCCCCCCCCCGGAGAAAAAAGTCTGGAAGAAACACTGCTACCCCAAAGAAAAAATCTGGAAGAAACACTGTACGCGGGGGAGGGGTGGGGTGGGGGGGGGGGGTGACTGTCACAGTGATTAAACTTACATTTAATAGACCTAACGTTTATTTTAAGCACTTTATACATTACACAACAAAATATTTTTTTTAATAGGTCATATTTAACATTATAGTATTTCTAGGCTCTATTCCTTTTGAATAATATTTTTTAAAAAAAACGTGCTTCAAAGCTCTTCAGATCCTGAAGTCAGAGGTGCTCGTTCCAAGTTCAACCTTTTCTTTTGGGCATCCCTCTGGTAGTGGCAGTGTCTGCAGTATGCCTGTGACATAAATAACTGCCCACACTAGCCTTATCCATCTTGTGATATTCTTAGGGGGGGGGGGGGGCTGTGGCGTTTCATAAAACAGCAAACAGGCTATTAATTAAGCTAAACATTCAGTGCTAGTTTAGGCCTAAACACAAAAAAACCTAAATTTATTTCGACTAGTAGGCCTACGACCCTAGTCTTGACGCCTGTTTATTATAAAAATAAAACCGTTTTTTTCTACTACAGGCCTACACCGCTGCATGTTATCTCGAAAAACAAGATGGGAAACGAGTTCTCATTAATCTCGTCCAGATAACCCCCCTCCAAATAGTTAGCCCCCGTCACCCCAAAAAATATAAATAAGAGGATATGAAACTTGTATTTGTAGATTATATTCTTCTTCTTCTTCGTTTCTTAATTTTTAGTGTTGGAAGGGTTCGAGCCTTATCTGCCAGAGGGTTTGAACTCGAGGATTTTTTCGAATTTATCAGCCATGAGCTTTTTGCCGACTCGACCACGCCTCCATCACAATTAAGGATACGTGTCAACTGGTTATGCTCCATGGGAGGTCATTGACTCCGATTTCAGCCTGCTTTTCTAATATTGGATTTGCTTCCATAGCCTTTGTCCAACCAAGAACAAACTACAAGGCAGCAGTTGTTTGATTTTTGGAGTTGTCTCTCCTAGATGGGTGGCTGTCCCCAGCTAACGAGCCTCATCTGCCCGAGGGTTCGAACTCGAGACTTTTTTTCGGTTTAGCAACCATGAGTTTTACCGACCCTAAAGCTTTTATTGAAGAGGGTGAAATTTGGACTTGTCATTAATAATTAGCACGAGTAGGGTTAATACCTTTAACCCTAACGCCAACCCCTCACCCATAAACCCAACCCTAGTCCTAACCACAGAGGCGAATAAGGAGTTGTTATTTATGGGCGTGCGTTTAAATACTTCCAAAAAATAGGGCCACAAGTGGCGGGGGGCTTAACTTTTTCGCCTTGGCTTTTTTTTTTTTGGCATTAGTGGCGAGGCTTATCTGGACCAAGATCCCTAGTTCTCTGTACATATCAGGCCTTGCATTTAAAAAACCCTAACAGATCTAACTTTACCAACAGGCAATGAACCAGAAACCCCCAATCAATGGCGGCAAAAAGAGATGCGCCACAAGTGATGGATAGCCTGGCGACTCCGTGTAACACGATCTGCGGTGCACAGGGAGCATTGTGGAGAGAGGGAATGGGTAGGGAGAGATTCAGCGCCAACCCCCCCCACCCCCCCGGCCCATGCAAATCGCTGAGCTCAGAGAGCCTGTTATTAAAGTCAACTAGGACAGTCCCAATAGGGCGCACGATACACAATAAAAATAGGCCGCACGAACACAAATAAATAATTGATAGAAATGTGTCACAACTGACTGAATACTAGACAGTCGTGTGTCTCAACTGATTAAATGCTAAACAGGCGTGTGTCATTCAACTGACTAAATGCTAGACAGTTGTGTGTCCATTCAACTGACTAAATGCTAGACAGTCCGTGTGTCTCATTAAAACTGA